AGAAGATGTTCTGTGGGACTAAAAGGCGAGGCATGGCCACCTCGGATGCATTTCTTCTGCTCATTACATGGACAGCCCATCACAACGGAACAACAAAGGTCAGATTCCTCTGCGATCTTATGCCAACATCATTTCAATTGAGAAGCGCAGCGTATACATTACTTTATATGCAGATATGCTTTCCACTATAGCAGCATCGACGCAACGACAATGTGTGATGCAATGCAAGTCCCAAACTCCGCGTGTAATGCGTGAATGATAACGGATCCAGAAAGGTACAAAGTGGGTATATAGAAATACAAAGTGTAAGAAAGAGAAGTGAAATGAAGCGTAACATGGCGATGCAGTCAAGCTACTCGGCGTTATTGTGGCGTCGTCATAGTGCGGGAGAGTTGAGAACGTTGTGGCATGGCGTCTTTGCGTAGCTGCCGAACAACGGCTTCGAGCTTTCGTCGTTCTTCTTGTTCCGCCTATGAATTGTTAGTGATGTGCGAAACAGTCGTGCATGAATATGACTTACCCTCAGCGCCTTCAACCCCTCAGCCGTCCGGTCCCTCATCATCTTCCTGAAGTCTTCTCTCAACATGCGAATACTAGTCGCGCCCATGTCAAGCTGAGCAGCAGCGCCATTTGGCATGCCCGGCCCTGGACTCCTAACCCCGAGCCACTTGACTTTCTCGTCACTGAGCTCGCGCTCCAGGGCTTCCTTCTCGTCGCGCAGCTTGTCGATCTGCGCTTCAAGGACTTCGCGGTCCTTTTCGTTCTGGATGGCGTCCCGGGTGAGGGCTTCGTACTCGGCAGCCATGCCGGACAGCTCGGCTTTGAGGTTGCGCTCGGATTGCCGGGCTTCGGCTTCGGATTGTGAGGCAACGTCTTGCACTTTGCGGAGCGCTTCTAGTTCGCCAAGGAGCGCTTGGTTTTGCTCGGTGAGCTCGTCGAGCTCTCGCTTGATGGCAGGGTTGGCAGCGGAATCAGCGGCACGTTGCGCACGCGTACCGTAAGCGCCATCGAGCTCTGCTTTGGCGAATGTGAGTTCCGTTGTAAGACGCACGATTTCGCCTTCGAGGTTGCGGAACTCTTCCTCCTTGGCATTAAGGGAGTTGGTTGCGTCCAACGAGCGAGCCTCGGCAGCTTGCTTCTCGGCAGTTACGGCTTCGAGAGCAGCTGTAGTTTCTGTGATCTTCTCCAAAGAGTTGGCAAGTTGAGCCTGGATCGTTGCCGCCTCGGTACGAGCTTCGTCCTGGGCATCCCTCAATTTGGTCTCTAACATGAGGGCCCGTTCTTGCGCGTCCCGAACCTGAGCCTCGTAGCCAGCAGTGCGTTGCTCGGCCTCTTGTGACGAGACGTTGTATGCGGTGTTGCGCTCCTGGTGGTCCTTCAGCTCCTCCTCGAATGTGGCAGCACGCTTTTCAGCCTCTTGCATCTTGCTCTGGAAGTTTACAGCTTGCTCTTGCACGTCCTTGAGCTGGTTCTCGTACGCGACAGCGCGTTGCTTGGCCTGGTTAAGTTCAGTCTCAAAGGCCATCACTCGCTCTTGTACGTTGATCAGCTGAGCCTCCAGACCAGCGTTCCGCTCTTGCGTCTCGCGCAAGATCTGTGTGTCAGTCGAGACCTTTTGCTCATCGAATTGCTGTAGCTGTTCCATTGCACGCTCGAGCTCACCCTCCATGGACTTCTTCTCAGATCTCGCGCTGAGCAGATTGGTATTGAGTCGCTCGAATTCTGCCTCTTTTTGTGCGTCCGACTTGCTGTTCAGTTCACGTTGCTGCTTGATCTGGCGCATCAGAACTGATTGCTTGTCTTTGAGACTAGTCGCCCGCCTGAACAGTAATTGCACCTTTGAAGAGAAGGCAGGAAGAGAGTAGCTCTCGTTGACGTAGTCTTCATCTGGCGAAACTTGTTCATTGGCATCGGGATCTTCGGCAAGTAACTGACGTCGCTCGCGTTTGCGCTCACGTGCTTCTTCTTCGCCAGTGAGGATGGTTTGCCAGAGGCCCATGATTGTAGTCTCGTACTTCTCAGCCTTCTCAGCGCTCTCGGACTCGTCGACCGCAGGACCCTTAGAACGAAGCTCGTTGATTTGCTCGTTCATGGCATACTGGATTTGCTCGAGGTTGTAGAAGGAGTCTTCCATGTAGTTGAGCTGTTCGGTAGCGCCACCACCAGTGATGGCGGGTGGCGGTGGGATCTTGTCGGACTGTTCGTTTTCGGATCGAGATATTACCGCATACAGTTGGTTGTTCATGCCCTCCAGACGGCCCTCGACTTCGCTCAGAGTATGCCTTGAATTGTTGCGGATGTTGGACTGTTCGGCGGCGATGCTGCGGAGACCCTGATCGAGGAAATCGAGCTGGCGATCTAGGGTTGACGCGTCGGGCGTTCCTTCAAGAGCCAACGGTGGCAGTGAATAGTCTTCGTCACGCTCGGGGTTCGCCTCGATGATGAGTGATCTCAGACGCTCGTTGATCTCCTGTAGTCGCGTGGCAGTCGCATTCAAGGCTTGATCGTGACGCTCTGTGGAGGCTGTGAGGTGTTTGCCGGTCTGCAGCACGTTCATGAGGTTGTCGAGGTTCTCGGGCGTCCTGTAGAAGCTGCGCTCGTCGAACGCGCCGTTGAGTCTGCCGTCTTCGTAGGTGTTCAGGCTCGCGGGGCTGTCTGGTCTGCGGAAGCGGTCTTCTGACATTTCGGAGTCGTCTTGACGCTGCTTTGGTCCCTTGTGCGTAAGCTGCAGTACAGCCGCAGTGTGCATCAGGAGTTGCATATCGATCATGCGCATGCGAGACTCTATCTCGAGGCACTCCCGAATGAACTCCTCGACCTTCTTGTTGCTTGACTCCAGCCCTTCCTCTGTCTTGGGGTCGTAGTCCTGCACGGGATTGCTGCCTTTGCTGCTCTTACTGCTCTGCCCGCGCTTGTGTCCGTTTGCCTTCTTTGAGGCCAGCCGTCCGAGGGAGCGCGTCGCATCGCGGATCTTCGTCTCCGACTCCAGCTTCCGCCTGACCGTGCCCAGACGAGTGTCCAGACTCTTCTGCTCCTGCTTGAGCGCCTCCACCTCCTCGACTGAGAGTATGTCGAAATACTGGCTGTCCCCGATTGCCGTCTCAACAAGCAAGTGCATAGCCACGGGATCGGTGTTCAGCGCGTCCGAGTTTCGCTTGCCAGAGTTTCGCGGTGTGTAGACGCCGTTCTCGCGTATTGTCTCCCTGCGGCCGTCTACGAAGACCTCTGGGGGCGGTATGAAGGCGCTGGCACCGAAGCGCGGGGAGATCTGGTAGGCCATGGGGAAGAAGCTGGGCGAGGCGGTGCCATTGATGCCGGACGGGTAGTTGGACGTGGGCGAGGGAAAGTCATAGAGGGCGCGGGGACTGAGCGTGTCCCCGACGTAGGGGTACTGGGTGCGCAGGCCATTGGCGGTCATGGTTCTGAATCTGAGCGAGCGACGCGGCGACTCGGGGCGTTGGGGGGTGATAAAGGACCGGATGGAGAAGGCGACGGGAGCGCCCAACAGTAATACTCGCGCAGCCAGCGGGGGTGGTGGGCGCGCTCACGGCGAGCAGCTCAACATGGTTGCAATTGGAGAGTTGGCTCAGGAGACGCTACTCTAGCAGTCTGCTCCTAGCACTCGACTGCGCCCGTCAAGGGGTGAATGGGCCACTAGCCGGCGGGAGTTCACGCGTTCATGCGCGCTTGGCAGGCACCGCCCATCTAGACATTCCCCACCATCCCGCGCTCTCGTCTCGTATTCGCTGCGCAGTCCTGACGACACCATATCTGGCGTCTCGTAGCGTGCCCCGCGCGAAATATTTCTCTGCAGTGACTCTAGTGCTGGTGCATCTCGTGGTGAAAGTGCCTCCCATCTGATTGCGTCTCAGTTCTCGTCACCCGTCGATCGCCAAATTCGGATCTGCACTCCGCTATCGATAACGTCCGTGTCAGTCAACAACATGAGCGCACGCGCAACCTACACCAAAGACCAAATAACAAAGTACTTTGACCGCCTGGGGTTGCCTGACCAAAAGAGAACGTACGATGTAGCCGGTCTGGACCCCGAGAGTGCACTGGAGTACCTCGCACTGCTCCAGAAGCTGCAGCTAGCAGCCGTGCCCTTTGAGAACATCACCCTGCATTATTCGGCCCATCATTCCATCTCTATCCATCCGGAGGAATTATTCAAGAAGATCATTGACGATGACAATGGACGCGGTGGGTATTGCATGGAAAACAACAGACTATTTGGCACGCTGCTGAATTCGCTGGGGTTTACCCTGTATTCAGGCGGTTGCAAAGTTTGGGCTGCTGACAGCTGGACGGGCTGGTCGCACATGGTGAACTTTGTTACCATCGGCAACACCAAATACCATGTCGATGTTGGCTTCGGGGCTGACGGGCCCGTTGTCCCAATGCCGCTCGACCGCTCGGGCACAGTCCAAAAGCACATCCAGCCTGCATCGGCCCGTCTCCAATGGCGCAACATTGCAGGCAACACTGACCCCGACCAGCGCTTCTGGGTTTACGAATACCGGAGGAATGACGAAAGCGATTGGGAGACCAAATACTCATACAGTGAGTTGGAATTCCAGCCTCAGGACTACGCAGTCATGAGCTACTACACTTCCACCAGCAAGCATACCTTCTTCACGCAGATGGTCGTGGCAGACAAGAAGATATTGGGTGATGATGGGGAGCTAGAAGGGAAGATGAGTCTGGCGGCTGCTTCGTTGAAGTGGAATATGAAAGGTCAGAAAACCAAAGAAATCGAGTTCAAGAGCGAGGGAGAGAGGTTGGAGGCGCTCGAGAAGTACTTTGGAATGAAGTTCAGAGACGTGGAGCGAGAAGGCATTGCCGGACTGCCATCAGAGATCAAGTAGACACCAGGACTGAACATTGAGAATTGTTGATTGCTCGCATGCGTACTATTGCTGTACATGCTGTAGACCCTCCCAGCGCGATCTAGTTACTATTGGGTATGTTGTATGCTGTGTCGGAGTATCTCGCATCGTCTAGAGGAATCGCTTCTCGCACTGCCCGTGGTTAGCAACTTCCAACAGCCCAGCACCTCCATACGCACCCTCCATGGGTTGTTGAGCTCGAAGCCTTCCGGAGCAATCGGCTTGTCTGTCTGTCCGCGCATGAACCCGGTCAGCCGGCGGTCGCGCTCCATCACTGGGTCTCGTAAGTATGTCGCATGAGGTCATCGTGAAACTGTCGTACTTTGCTGTACACATGTTAGCTTTCCCCTGGTGCGCGTATGTCTCTCGCAACCTACCCTGTCCCATTGGTCGATACCCCTCCTGGTCTTCTTTCCTCCGTTCTGGATCTCCTTGAGCTTTCCGACAGACACGGCGCTGAATGCGAAGAACTGGCCCTCGTGTTAGCAGCCTTTCACTCTCAGGCGCGCCAAATCACTCACGCCCGTCATAATGGCATAAGGCAGCAGAGCCTCGAATGGGACACCCATGATTGCGGTAGTGTGTTCAGGCGCGGTGGTGTTGCGGGGTGGGCTATCAGTGCGGACTGGCTGGAGGTGCCGTCGGCCTGAAGTGAGGTGCGGCGGCCGTGCGTCAACTGCTCCTTGGCGGCAACCCCGACTACGACCAAGGGTGTCATTTCGGACGACGACAGCGCATCGCCCATACCATTTCCTGCCGAGCGACAATTATTCTCGGTGTCGCACAGACTCACCCTTTCATACGAGGCGCGAAACCCGCAACCTTCAGCCGCCAGACCCCCGAAATAATTGCCTCCGCCGCGATCGCACCTCCGCCTTCCCCACAGTCACGCCCAACGCGACTACGAGACCGCCGCATCTGCCTCGGGCGATTCACGGCCTCTGAAACCCATTACACGATACACCTCAGTCGAAAACACGCGGTTCTAAGTTTCACGGGTCACGACAACGCGCTAGGACACAGACACGACGCGCTCACCAACCACTGCATGAGAGAGCCTCCGCGGCTGCTACCGCTCGCGCAACCAATGTTCTAAGACCTATACCAATTGGACTGCGACAGTGGCGTATCTTGCCTCCAAGGTGGCCTCTGCCGTCAACTTCGCAATGGCGGAAATCATGGGCCAAGCTGCGGCCAACACCGACCCGGACGACATCGATGCGGATGGCGAATACGAGATGGACGATGTAGAGTACGCGCCCGGCCCGCCTATCGAGGACATGCCTGATGCTGAAGGCCAAACTACAGACGCTGAGGGTTCAGACGTGGATGCCGAGGGCGAAGATGTCGATGCTGAGGGTGAAGATGTGGACGCCGAGGGCGAAGAGGTGGACGACGATGAGGACGAAGCTGAGCCCGTCGGTGCTGTCAAGATCGCACTACGTCGACCCAGGTCCGACGACGAGGAAGAGGACTATGACGGCGACGATGTCGCGAGAGAATCCTCCGATGCCAAGTCTAGCGACAGCGACGAGTCAAGCAACCTTGATTCCGAGGAGGAGAACCAATGGCAGGCGAGCGATGGTGGTGAAGAGGATGAAATCATCAGGTCGAACAACCCCAACGTGTGCATGTAAGTATCGCCCCAGAAGATTGAGCCTGTAAAACATTTACTAACTGAGCAGATATTGCAATTTAGACGAGGACAACGACCCCAGCCCGGAATTCGAGGAGTACCTCTCTTGCGCCCAGTGCGGAGACAATGGTGAGTACTCAGTTGGGAGGTTCGGCTTACGATGTGGTAGCTCACACATTGTTGGTCCAGCACATCGGCAATGCGCGCGTAACGCTAATACGCTTAGTCCCGATGACGGTATGTTCCCTTGTCAGGCCCGAACCGCACCTTACTAACGACGAATAGATGCAAAGCTTTGGCGCTGCGAAGGGTGTATCAACAACTTCCCAACGGAAGCAGAAGAAGAGGCAGACGAGCCTTCTACTCGTCGGAGACGTTCGTCCGCGAACAAGTTGACCAAAGAGTTGCTCCCTTCACATCGTGGGGTTGACCCCGAAGGACATTCAATCTTCAAAGAGCTAATCCTTCCCGACGAATCAGCAGATGGAATACGTTCGCTGCGCAAACGCAAGACTTCGCAGGAAGAGGAAGCGCCGATTCCGTCGAGGCAAACACGGAAGAAGCGGAGACCTTCCGAAGCATCCAACTCAGATGCGGCGCCATCAGTGCCTGCAGTCTCACCCCGGCCACCTTCAAGAAGCGTACGAAGTGCTCGTAGCGTCATGACGGATGGTCACGAGAGTGGAGGCGAGGCAGAGCACACTGGTTCAGATCGAGAGGCAGGTCGCTTACGACCAGCGCGAGCACGTCGTGGTCAGCCTAAGAGGACCGACAAACGACCACTCGCATGGATCGAAGAGGCCCAGCCTGGAAGCCTGATTATCGCTTTCCATCTCAACAACGAGAAAGTCCAGAAGATTGTCACCGCCAAGCCCAAAGTAAAGACACTCACGCGCGAGCAAGAGCGACAGGAGAGGCGGCGCGAGAGGGATAGAGAACGTCGCGAAAGAAATCGCCGGGCTGCACAGGCTGCACGAGAATCCTCAGAGGTCTTGCATTACCCAACAATACACATTCAAAATGCCGCTCCGTTCCCAGGCTTCACCGACAGGGAGCCTGACGAGGTCAAGAGCAAGCCCTACGGTGGTGTACTTTCGGAAGCGGATGCCGATACATCCAAGACTTATCCTTCGCCCGCCGACCGGAAGCGGTTCGACGATGCTCGCATCAAGGCTGAAGAAGAATGGAAAGTGAAGCAAGCCGCACTTTACCCGCCCGAACCACTCCGGTCGCACAAGCAAGCAACCACGGCGAGCAAGATCAAATGCGTCAATTTCGGTGGCTGGGAGATCGACACCTGGCACGCTGCGCCATATCCTGAAGAGTACAGCAAAAATCGGGTGCTTTACATATGCGAGTTCTGTCTCAAGTACATGAACTCGGATTATGTGGCATGGCGGCATAAGGTAAGCATTTCGACTTCTTTCCATGACCATGTACTAACAAGCACAGCTCAAATGTCCAGCGAAGCACCCTCCTGGCGACGAGATCTACCGCGACGGCAAGTACTCTTTCTTCGAGGTCGATGGCCGAAAGAATCCAGTGTACTGCCAGAATCTCTGTTTGCTCGCCAAATTGTTCCTCGGTTCCAAGACGCTATACTACGATGTCGAGCCCTTCTTGTTCTACGTCATGACAGAAAATGACAACTTTGGGTGTCATTTCGTCGGCTACTTTTCGAAAGAGAAGCGTCCCAGCTCGCTCAACAACGTTTCTTGTATTCTCGTACTTCCCATTCATATGCGCAAGGGCTACGGACAGTACCTGATCGAGTTCTCCTACCTCTTGACCCGCGTCGAGAGGAAAACTGGAAGCCCTGAGAAACCTCTCAGTGACATGGGTTTGGTGAGTTATCGGAAATACTGGCGGCTTGTTCTGTGTGAGGAACTACTCCTACAAAAAGCCGCGATCAGCATATCGGCCATATCGGATCGCACCGGCATGACACCTGATGACATCGTATCAGCGTTAGAAGGCCTACGAGCTCTCGTGCGCGACCCTGTCACGAAGAAGTACGCGCTTCGCCTTGATTTGAACTACTTCAAGTCATACATTGAGAAATGCAACGCTGCAGGCAATCCAAAAATCAATCCAGAGTGTCTGATATGGACACCGTACGTCATGGGTCGTCTGGGCCAGTACGAAGACGGACCCGCCCTGCAGACAGTGCAACAGCGCGACGAAATCGAAGAAGAAGACAAGCCCGCACCCGAAGAAGGAGTTCAGATGGCCGCAGCAAAAGCCAACGGTACAGGCGAGGAAGCAGACGGCCCCCACCCCGCCGAAGACTCCGTCAACGGCGGCTCACCAGCCCCCGGCACACCCCTCGCAAACGGCTCCACTGTCGCACTCGCCGGCTCCCACATGGACGAACCCGCAATCCCGCCCTCCCGCTACGAAATCTTTCCTCCCATCCCCGGCCAACCTGCACAGCGCCGCCGCCCAGGCCGCCCCTTCGGCACCCGCCGACGTACCAGCACCCCAAACCGCGTCCGTAACACCTCCCTCTCCATCCACACCGCCCCCGTATCCAAAATGCAACTCTCGCCCAGCCGCGGCGCAAAAGCCCTTATGTCGCCCTCCGCCAACGGCGCCCTCACACCGGGTACTATTTCGCTGCGCCGCACACGCAGCCGCCTCGGTGAGAGCGTTACAAATGGCGACGACGTCTCGGACGGAGGCGCGGTTAAAGCTGTTGTGATCAATGGGAGGAGGAGTACAAGAAGCTCTGCTAGCTCAAGGGGTAGCATTGACTTCAAAGGGAAAGGCAAAGCGCTGCCCATCGAAGAGGAGCAGGAACAAGAACAAGAACAGGAGCATGATGAGGACATCGACGCCGATGGCGATTATGATGAGGAAGAGGGGGACATGGATGTTGATGCTGAGGGGGAGGAGGACGATGATATTATCATGCAGGATGCCTGAATTATGGTTACTGAACACTTTTTTCCACTTCTCCCGCTCACGTCTTGTAATATTTAGTATCGGTGGTGGTGGTGTTGATCTGACACCTAACTACCTTTTTTCTCGTTCTCTCTTTCTATTTATGGTTTCAGCGCGGAGAACTAGGGCTTCGATTCTTTGTAGTGTTATGGTTGTAAGCGGGTTGGGGCTATTGGTGTATATGCATTACGGAGATACCTTGGGATGGGATGGGATGGGATGGGATTGCGAAGCGGGGCGTTAGTCAATGTATCTGCACACATCTCCTGAACTGGGCTTGATGTGTGATTTTTTCCGAGAAGAGAGTGTGAGGATTCTTTGCTCAGACTCTCTTCGCAGAAAAAAACATATGTCGAGTTCAGTTCAGGGGATGTATGTTCTTCTATGGAATGTTCTCGGTGATGCCTGTCGGTCTGAGGTTTCTGAGGCTGTGTCATTCTTTCGTTGTTGTTGCTGGTGATATCTCCGGCGAATGACGAGTATCAATGACGCTGTCTTAGTTCTCTTTCTTCTAAACTTCAATCACAATCCTCATTTATGCTCCATCTTCCACTGTTCTCTTACCTCAACGCACTCGATCCAGCTGGCATCCCCAGGGCGCTCGAGCTAGGTAGCAATACGAATCCCAAGAGTGCTGCTGTGTCCCACATTCCGCGCACATACTCGGCCAAACACTCTTGCAGGTCATGGAAGCGATATCATCATGGACACACACAGAAAACAACACGGTGGATATGCAAGTAGATGTAGTTGCCTGATATTGATCGAATCATCGTTCTTTGAAGTGGAGTAACATGCTGTAGATGTCAAAACTACTGAATGCTGATGCTGTGATTCTTCGGATGTTGTTGACGCAGATGCCACGCACGCATAGATATGATCTACTTACTTTGATGAGCGATCGTAGCATGTCAACATCACACCTCCACTTCTACTCCAGGTCCAATTGTCTCTTTCTGGACACTGTTGTTATACTGGCAAATGAATTCA